TATACTGTTCAGAAACCATTTTTTTGTTGGTAACAGTCAATGCAGCAAAATGGACAAGTAACTGTTGCAGTTAGGTGCAGGAATTCGAAATACTGTATAACGCGTTTCAGGCTCTAAATCTTAGGTTTTGCACGGAAAAAAACGTCCAAAATTACATTATACGTATAATGTGCGGATTTTTTTTTTAAAGGTCGGGAGTATTTTTCTTGCACTTCTAACACCTCAGAGGGACGTTAGGAATGCAAGAAAATTATTTCCGACCATTTAGTACCTGCACTAGACTGCATATGCATGTAGTACCGGTGCTTCCAGCCCTGACACTAGTGACAGGCAAAGGGTGATGTACATTTGTACATGTACATGGGTGTACAGAGAGCCATAGTGAGAATGAAAGCCATTCCAGCATGTTGACAGTAGGTCCTGGGGTCAGCAGTAACATGGCAGGAATGTAGCACACAAACACTTGGCTGTAACTCAGAGTAAAGTACGCAGGACTGTCAACATGGCAGCTTACATAACGTCTGACAGCCAGAGTAAAGAGACTCTTTTTACACAACCAAGTGTTTTAATCACAGCCGACATTTTGGTGACCGTCTGTCACCTTCCTCAGAGCAATTCTGACTGGTTCACATTGCAATGCAGCATAGATGCATTCTGCAACATATAATATTTACATATCTACACATATACCTGGTTACAGGGAACTGTGTCAATATGCAGTGCAATCTGCAACTTGGTTGTGTAAAAAGAGTCTCTTTACTAACTTACCAACCTGATGAAACTATTCACAAATGTATGACAGCCAGTTTTGGGTGTGTTTGTCTGTGTGTCTGTGTGTGTTTGTTTGTTTGTTTGTCTGTGTGTTTGTTCGAGAACTGTTTGTAGATACATGTATCTGAATGTAGTAGAGAGGTAGGAAGAAAATGGTTTCTGCAGATTGACCTTAGGGTCAAGTTGTAGAGAAGTGATGCAAGTCACCCACTTATGGCTTGTTCACAACAAGGTTTAAATTTCTGTCCTACCAAACCAGTTAAAAGTATGGTATGACAGACCTCTCTCACTTTTTGGTTGTGACAATGAACTTTTAAAAACCTATATCTTAAAATGATCTTATAGAGTAATTTATATGAATTGGATGTTATTTTCCAATTGTATGGGCACATTTTGTCACACTGTTTAAGTACTTGATGTACATGTACATGCAAAATGGCTGTTTTTGTGTATCCAATATTTATCAATTTAGATGATAAATGATCAAAATATCAAGACTTAATATGATAGTTACATATGATAAAATGTTAGCACTTGAACGATGAATTGGGTAGATTATATTTATTCAATTATCAGTTCCAGTCTAATTCAGTGCAATTGCATGATACATGACATTTGTACAATTTATGAGATGGAAATCATATAATAACCAATCAGTACTTACCCTCATCAGCACAATAAGTCTGGCTACCAAGGTTAATTGGAAGTTATGTATTAGTAAGAATGAGAACAATGGATATGAGATTAATAATTCCTTATCAGATGAGAGAACTTAAACTGTGTCATAAGTCAGGATCTTGTACCACTGGATTATGGAATTATGCGATTCAGTTGAACAAAAGATTTAATTAATCAAAAACAGTTAAGTTTTATTCCCTGGAAATTGTTAATGTAAAGGCATCCAATGTAATTTCAGGGCAGCAAAACAAAAAAATATTTAGGATAATGAAATCTGTCTGGTATTCAAATTTCAGGGCTAGAAATACTGGGTGCATGTGCACCTTAGTGCACATAAATTTGGAGCTGTGCACCGGCCCAATTTTTTTCTGTGGGTGCACCAGTGTACCCAAATATTTTCATAGGTTTACATATGTAAAGATGTTAAATGTATAGTAGTATACTGCATATCCTAAAACATACAAGTGTAAGAAAGATAATAAAGATAATTTTCATAGTACTTTTCTTAAGAAATGAAACATAATTTAGTTTTCTATTTATCTTATATGGTGCACCTGAAATATTTTTTGTGCACCAGCTATTTCCAAAACTGAATTTTGAGCCTGCAAAGGGATGGTTTTATAATGGTGGCTTATTTTTTTATTTATTTTATTCACATGGATTTTTGAGCATTGGATAGGAAGCTCTTGTTGTGCTTATGTAAATCCGCTGCTCATAAAACATAATACAAATGTAAACATAAAGATGACATAAAGTATAGCATTAACATAAAATGAAAGTGGCTGGCGCACCAATACCTAGCATAACATTATTGAGATTGGTCAAATCTTCCAGAGTGGTGGATATAGTTAAACACAATATCAAAGATACGGCAGTTGGTAGGGTAAGGGAGGCTGGGGCTACCTGTAAGAAGTAAAGTACATAATGTGGCGTCATTTACGTTGAGTGGGTCGGAAGGAAGGCTTATTAATGTGACAGTTAACATTCCGATGTGGCGTGGTTCCCAACAGTGTCCTGACCAGCCAGGCTGTCAGCTGTAATCTCGTCTTGAGTGGTGCGTGATATCAGACATGCAGGGGGAAATTGGGTTAGCGGACTGCAGAAATCGGAGGCAAATTAGGGGACAACCGGCCCTGGCCAGAAAACTGAAGATTACGACAAATCAAATCAGAAAGCACTGCGGTAACACACAACTAGAACTTTGCTGAACAGTTGGTATCACTGTCAGAAAAGAAGAGAATATGGTTACCGAATTCATGTAGCTAAAAAGTAAAAAGCTGGCTTTCTTCATACATTTCTGTGTATGTGTACATACGTGTGTCTGTGTGTGTGTGTGTGTGTGTGTGTGTGTATGTCTGTGTGTGTACATGCATGTGTGTGTGTGTGTGTATACGTGTGTGTGTGTGTGTGCGCGTCTGTATGTGTGTGCGTGTGTGTGTGTTACTGTGTACATGTATGTGTCATTGTATGTATACTATGTATATATGTGCGTGTATGTATCACTCCATTCCAGAACACAGTAAATTCCCATATACATGTATTATGAGTCCGAACAACCATATATTATTCGGGAAAAAATAGCTGTTACAGAAATAGATTGCCAAATTAAGCACATAATTATTTAATATCCCCTTTTTCTTTCCTTTGCCTTAATACAATAACTACACGAATACAGAACTCATTTTATCTTATCATTTTTCTTCATTTCGCTTCCCATCTATAATGTGGGTAAAATATTGATGTATAAACTATAAATGTGATAGGGATACATAATGTCCTCTTTGCAACAAAATAAAGGCTGAGTATCGATCACACTGCCCCATTGCACCTCGCTAAAACATCTATGTTACACTGTAATGTGTTTCCAATATTCTGGAACAATAGTTCACACACACTAAAATGTAACAAGGTAACTTGAAGTCATTTACACATTGTGAGCATTTGATACCGTATAAATCTTGTGGTTATGGATCTAATTATGGAGTTGTTATAAGCTGTCAAGTGAGTTATATCTTAATAATAATTTCTGATAGCAGCTGTGTCTGTGTGGGATAAAATGCTGAGAGATTTAATAACACTATATATATATAACTCTTATGAGGGATTGGACTTCAGAAAGCATATTGCAAAGCAGAAAACTCTTAGTTACATTGCTGTAACAACATACTATAGTAAGCAAGAAATCAAAGATTTCATACCTCTATGACATAATTAGTTGTGATATTCTGTGCAAATTTTCCCACAGGCTCACATAATACTGTTTTATGCATGTTTATATTCTTATTACATAAATTAAAGATTGATATTTGTGCTATGTAAGCTATTGAATTTCTTCATGTCAGTCCAATAACTCCAATTTCATACCTCCATGAAATATGGGCTTGATATGTAAATGTAAATTTCTTCTTTAATTGCCATAGGTTACATACATTACATGTATGAAAGTACTATAATGTAAAACACTGTAAATATAGAATTTCCTCATTAATTATGCAAATAAAATCCTCATTTGCATAATTTGCATTTAATTATGTACATCTCTCTTTCAGCTACCTACCTACCAAAAATGACGAAAATATGTTGTTCCTATCTGGACTTATTGGCTTTTAAACATTTCGCCAGAAAGTGCCCTGCAGTTCCAGAACAAGCTGCTAGGAGGACCAAACCCACACCACTTATTCCTGACAGGAAAATCTGTCACCAAAAATTCAAGACCATAGCATGTTCAGGACAAAAGATACAAAAACCAGAAGTTCTGCTGCAGTACCAAGGTCATCCACCAGGAGGCCCATATTTCACCTTGACCTTCGACTTCCTAAGACTTACCAGCATACCAAATATCATCACAATCCATAAAGGCGTCATGAAGTTATGCTGACTACAAATGTGCAGAAACACAAACACACAGACAGACACACACACACACACACACACACACAGACAGAAGCGCCAAAAACAATAACTCCATTTTTGATGGAGGTAAAAATAAATCTTGCAGCAGAAGATCAGTCTTGCTGACCCCGTTTAAAGTGGGACTGGGCAGGTTAATTAGGCTGGTTCTCTGAAACCACTGGGAGTGAGACTTAAGCTAGATACACGGGAAGATACAGGTAGTGGCAGAATCTTCAATTCTCAGAATTTTGTTACTCTGTAAAGGAAGTCAATGACCTCTGTAATGGAGTATTGTATAGTATAATACAAACTGCTAACTATTAGGTAATGTAATGTAATGTAACATCCTATCTTTATCTCATTGGCTGTTGTGTGTGTGTGTGTTAATAAAAATTGGTTTTCTCCAAGCAAATGTTGGTTTATATGGTTTTAATTATTGGTTTTAATGCTCCTTGTTTATTCGTTTACAAACACACATCCATCCGTCCATCCATCCATCCATCCATCCATCCATCCATCCTTCCATCCATCCATCCATCCATCCAATCATCCATCCATCCATCCATCCATCCATCCATCTACATACTAGTATATAAATTGTAATAACAGGTTAGATACATACAGTAATTGTTTTTTTATACAATAACACATAAACTTACCTAGATATATAGAAGCCTGGCTCTTCTTCACGTTGTCATCGATGTAGGTCGTACCAAGTGTGTAGATGGGGGTGGAGCCCACGCCAATCAGAATCTGCGCCCCCATAAACAGGAACATGAAGATGGAATCTCCCGACTTGGACATGCAGTCGGCGTTATTCCCGTTATTTGTCGTGTTCTTACACAGGTTACTGTCTTCTGTTCTGTTTTTCAGATCGCGTGCTTCCCAGTCGTATTTCCCGGCCAGATAGTGGGGCAGCGTGAAGAGAGCAGCACCAAGAGCCAACAGGAACGCACCGCAGCCAATCCACTTCGGTCTGTGGCCCAGTCCGCCGAAGTAACTGATAAAAACCACGACCAGCAGGCTCCCGATTTCGTAACTGCTCACGATGAGCCCCGACTGGCTGCTGTGGAGTTCGAACCGTTTCTCGATGGTGGTGATGACGCTACTGAGGTAGCCCGAGACCAGCATGCTTTGCACCAACGTCAGCAGGCTTATCGCTATGACGACGCACTTCCCGTGCGTGAACTTCTGCAGCCAAGATGGCGTCCAGCACCGGTAGCCGCAAAGCTCCTCCATTTCTGTCCTGTGAGCGTCTTTCTCGCCCGGAACGCAGCACGGGCAAACGTCTCTCCCGCCTTTCTCCTCCTCCTCCTCCGCTTTCAGGTGTTCGATCATCATCCATCGCTCGGCGACCGCATCCGCCTGTTCCTTCTCCTTCTCCATCTTGCTGCACGTGCCCTTTGGCTCTTGACCTTTGACCACGAAGACTGGATCCCCCTCCATGTACTTTTTGGGTCGCTTTTTTAGTTTGTCACCTCATAATATTGCAGATGTACACACAACAAGGACGCACCTGTAGGAAAAGAAGTTCAACTGTTACTATAACTTAAGAAACTGTCAGTTTTGAAGACTGATCAGCATGGTATGTACTATGTGAATTAAGATGTAGCTGCTTTGCATTTCAAACTTTTTTTCTGGAATTTTGTGGTCGAACAAAGGCTTTTACCCAATACCACAGAAATCACCCATGACTGCAGCTCATAAGTCCACTGTTTTTCTTTTGAAGACAATCAAGCATCACAAGTTCTTACCTGAGCTCTTTCTTTATGTAACACTTCTTGCGCAACAAAAAAACATACCAAAGATTTTTAATGCTATAGCTTTAAAAAGCAGCAGTAAATAAAATTGACCACCTCTAGAACAGCTGTGCAAGCAAAACTAAAAGCTTGCAGAACAATAGCCTGGCCTTCAGTTCTCGTGAAACAGTAAAGCAACTAATGATAGACACTCCCTTTCCATATCCATCATATATCAATCACGTGTCACCTCTTTTGTTCACGCTATGTATAGGAACTTATGTGATCAGTTTTGCTGCCAAAGGCAATGAATGTACGCTTATGTTTCTCACAAAAAAGGCTAATATCCCTGAGATGAAATGCTATTAAGGGTAGGTTTATGGCATGCAGAGTTGGATTGTTGTCAAAAACAATTTTCTGTTCGGCAGTTTGCCTTCTTGAATGGCATGATTTTGTACCTGTTAATGTTATCATAAAACATGATGATTAAAGTTTACATATACAAAAAAACTTTCATAATAAAATATCTAGTAACTAGAACGATCAGCTGTTACAAACAAGGTCAAAAAGACTTAACAAGGGCAAAATGACCTTGAAGAAACAACAACGATGTTGTTTATCACAACAAAAGCTGTTGCCTTGGCAACAGCAGATGCTCTGACCACCTGTTTTTGTTTGTGAAAGGACACGGTGTTACGTCAACGAATGTTAGGACTGGTGTTGTTTGTGTAAATACTGTTACTAATGGCATCAATAAACACGTAAGGGACAATTTCCTGTGTGTACTGATCAGATTTCAGATAATTTTTACGATTTCGTCAAAAACATATTTTTTTGCTGACAATTACATTTCATTTCCCACAGTTTCAAGTAAACAATAATGTAGGTACATCAGTACTTTTCCACAGTTTTCGTTGGATTATTGGTCAACGCTGCATCAGAATTTTGCCTGTTGCAGAAAATATCTTTTCTGACACAACATTTGGAAACTACAGACGGAGTGTTAACCTTATATGCGCCAATACAACCTTATATGAGTCTAGACATTCTACCATAGTGCTATGCACAATACATTACGGGTTTCCCGCAGGTGCAGTACATTCTGCCGACGTGCTAGGAAAAACTAACTGTAAAACCGCAGTGTTTCTAGATCATGTAGAGCATCTACCTGGCAACAATCCTAGACTAGTTCTTACAATGTGAAGGTCACGAGAGGCGACAGCTCGCACAATCGATGAACAACCTGAAGTTGTTTTTCACAGACATTCTATACCCTAACTGATGCTAGTACAATGGCTAACATTCCAGGTCAATATTGACCCAGCAGTGCAGTACTATTGTGCCATGCAGGAATGGCGTTCAGGCCGCACCTTTCGCCACACCTGGCTAAAACAACAGCTAACAAGCAGGACAAACAGCTGATAAGAGTTTTAGGGCTCGAAATGTTTCTTTTTTTTTTCTTTGTCTAAAACCTGAACTGGTACAGGCACATTGTAACCTGCACTCAAGACCTGTGCCATTAATTTTCTTTGCCTTTCAGTCTTTCAAAAATTATGTTGGAAAAATGTACCTAGTAGTGACATTTTGGACCGATCTCGTATACTGTATTCAAAGATGCTATCACTACATGTATTGTGTATTTTAATTTGCTGCATTGACTGCTACTGCTAGCACCATATGAAGAACAATAGAAATAATGACAAAGGTTTCTGAACAGTTTTTACTAAATTTTGAGTGGTGTAGGTAAAACTTGTATGTACAGGATATTTTCAGCATTACCTGCACCAGTGCATGTACATAGGACAAGGAACATTGATCCCTAAACCATCTACAGGTGGTGTTATGGTAACGTTATACATGTATGTGTGTTTCAAGCCCTGCAAAATAATAACAGTATTAAAAGTTTGGATGACCCCAGAATTCCATAATGCTATTGCGGTCAGTTACCTCTGGCATACATCTGTAATACATGTTGTATGGATCATTTAGACATTAAGATGCAATTCATCAGGCACCCAGGCACACTAGCTCTGGTATGCCAGGAAATAAATTACATTTTCAGGCAATGAAAATTCTATCAGTCTAAATGAAAGTACAATACGAGCAAAGGCCATGACGTCATGGCCAGCTAGTGGTAGGCAAAAAGTGGGTGACAGTTGAGAGATTTACCTACCAATAATTTGCATATGTCTTTAAGTAATTTGCATGTACATGATGTAAACAAAAACAGCAATTGCTCATACTCATACCAGTGACGACAAGGCTTTTCCAGTCGAAACATTTGAATCTATATCAGGATTTTGCTTCAAATTTGATACTACATACTAGAATTATATAAAGGTGAAAATTTTCAGTGCTCTAACAAATTTGACTTTGAAATATTCTCGTTCTTCTCTTTTCATTTTAGTGCTTTGAATGTACCTTAATCAAAAGGTATGTCTGGCTTCTCCAGGAGCTGTTCTAAACCTGTGCTAGCTGCCTAGTGTCTAAATCTGTTCAACAACTATTTGACTTTGTGGCTTGGTAGCCAAAGTTTGCACAAATCTATACAAGGCCACAGTTCAAATACAAACATACTGTGTCAGCATCCACACACCGCAAACACCAAATCGCTGCATAGTGGTTTTAACACCAAGTACATAACATGTACGAGTTACTAAGTGACCAAGCACGTACAGAGGTGCTTCATGCCCCAATCTGGTACCAAACAACAACTTTTCAGTGAACAACACATTGTAGAGGGCCTGCATGGTGGGGGGGGGGGGTAGTGATTACGAATTACGTAAAATTTTCGCCGCTAATTACGAATTACGTTAAATTCTCAGAGCTAATTACGACTTTGCAGCTACTTTTGGGAAGGCTGCCTACGGATTACAAAGACTAAAAAGGCCTGATTACGACTTACGAAAAAGGGCATGCAGGCCCCCATTGTACTTTACACCTTAATACTTCACCTAGTAGAGAGTCAACTGAATGTTTACTGTAGCACTTTATCAATGCTATTTTTTCTTGACAGAAGATTGTTTTCTTATCACTACCTCCATGTACAGAGGTTATATTTCTGGTGTGTTTGTCTGTTTGTTTGTTTGTTTGCTTATTTGAAATTGCAGTATAGTCATAGGAAGTCTAGGGGAATTGTGTAACCATAGACTGACACGAAGGTCAAGCTGTAGGTCATTTATTTGATTGTTAAGTTATTGCATCATACAAAATGTAACATCAAATTGAACCAAAGTCCACTTTGTTCAGGACTGTTGTAATATTAAATCGTGCAAGTTCAAACAAAAGTCAGAGCCAATTGTTACTACACGAAGTAACTAAGAATAGCCCACAACAAAATTTTTATATTACATAGAACAATGACTGAGTTCGTTGTAGGCTATCACACTAGCATCACTTTCTACACTTCTTGAATCAGGAAAAAACTTGTTACCTTCATTTATTTATTTATTTCATCATAAGACGGCTGGGTAGCCCCATTCAGCTTGCATCAGCTGTTTTCCAAGGGGGCCCAGCAAAATTACACAAGACTTTAATTGTTACATACAGTAAAGCAAAACAGTTGTCAACATACAGTAAACATAAAAGTCTGATGCGTCAAAACAGAGTCATACCTTGATACTATGTAATTTGGCTCTTCGTATCATTCTTGTCTTCAGATGATTTTTAGGCTCATCTTTTTCTGTGCCCTTGCAGTACACAATGTAGATAGAGTCTGCAGGCCTAAAAGACGTCATCCATAAAATTTCCAGTACTAGTGTCCTTATATCAACTCCACAGTTGAAGTAGTTGATGTCAGTACTGATAGTTGTGACACCAGGAGTGACCTGCTCTTTTGACCCCGGCATAACTTCTGATAATTTTCCTCTCAAATAACAGATCTGTTTGGATGGCTGGGCGGCAGCTAGGGTAGCCTGGGCCTTTCTGGGAACACCAGGGCTTGGGCAATATCAAGTTGATTCAGTGGATAACATCTAATAATTTGGGCCAAAACTCTGAATCATATACAACAGTGAGAAAACTAGCAAATCCAAATTGTGGGAAAAGAAATTTATAGATACTTAAAATGCTGATATAGACTTATTATGAGTTCATGTCATATTATGCTATTCAAGTCAAACTCCAAATTGTCTAATGTCTTTGTCAGCAGGGCTAGCACTTTGCAATAGCCAAAACTTAGTTGAGAACCAACAAATTAAATTGGTATGGCCTAAATAACTACATACAACTACTCCAAATAGCATGCGTAGCTGAATTTTAAAGTATGACAGGCTATGCCTTTTGACCCAAAAGAGGCATGTTGACCGTTACACCACAAAGGCTACATGTACTTGACAGAGGGCCTGCAAGGGGGGGTAGTGATTACGAATTACGCAAAATTTTCGCCGCCTATTACGAATTACGTTAAAGTCTCAGAGCTGATTACGACTTTACGATTTGCGACTAATGTCCAATTACGAATTACGTTGATTTTTGCGGAGGCTGCCTACGAATTACGAAGTCTAAAACGGCCTGATTACGCCTTACGAAAAAGGGCTTGCAGGCCCTCTTGACATGGGTTGACCGTACTACCTCTAGCTGTATTACTCACTCAACCCCTTCCATAAAATACCAACTCATCAATAAGTCCTTACACAAGCCTTTGATTTTTCAGGAGCGCTTTTTGCTGCCGTGCACGAACTCTGAGTCAGAGGGGCATTCTGAATTCCAAATCAAAGCACAAGAAATTCCCTTGCAGCTGACAGCCATCTTTATTTCTTTGCTGGACGGGAAAGG